ATGACAAACGCACGATCAAGGACACATTCGAAGTGGATCTAGCCCAGCCCATATGACTTTTCCCTTGGAGGAGGGGTATTTAACTATGAGCCGCTGGATTAGCAAATCTAGAGGCAGCAGGAACGGCTCCTCCTGCCGGAGGAGGTCGCAGGGTGTGGTGCGCAGCCCTGTTTCCACATCCATCCCTCTTCCCAGCCGTGCTGTTCTATCCCTGCATTGGCCAGGGCTCTTTGCACTTCCTTGGTAGTTGAACAGTTAGAGACTGTGTAATTCTGCGCAAGAAACTCCTCGGCTAACAGCTTTCTGAGGCCTGAGACTTGGCATCCCTGAAGAGCGAAGGACCTGGTTGTCTGTGTTGCCCTCCTCAGCTGCCGCCAGATTTAGCCATTCAAAGCTGGAAGGGTGTGGTGCTGACCTTTGCTCCCTCTGCTGGCTGTGTTCATTTTCTCAGGCATATTCGTTCATTTATGGAGGCCGCATTACTAGGTGTCAGGCAGAGGAGGGTGGAGGTGGGGTGGGGTGATTTGTAAAAGTATCACTCATTTTCCTCTTTTTCCTAGCTCTTTCCATACCGTCTTATTATCTTCAGAGAGACTCAGATTTAATTCTGAGCCCAGGTCTTTGAACTCCCTGAAATCATAAAAGATTGTGAATGTGTATTTTGGGGGAAACAAAGGTCCATAGATTTCCTCAGCTTGTCAGAGGGGTCTTCGGTAATGCAAAAAAGGTATTAACCTTAACCGGTCTGGGTCAGGCCTCTCATTTCTCCGATGGGAAGCCTAGTCCCAGAGAAGGTAGTTAATTAAACTTCAGTTAATGGCTGAGCCGCATGTCTTAGGAGTTCAGCGGCATCTTCTCCAATTGCCGTATATGAAATGACCGACTTCTCGGGGACTGTTTTCCATGTTCTGTCTGTGTCAGGGAGGCTCTTCTGGGTGGCTCTTCTTGCTGTCATTTCTTCCCAAGACGTGTTCAGTGCCTTCCACCCATTGGGCCGGTGTCAGCTGCGCAATGTTTTGTAGTGTGTATGGCTCCTGTTCTTTCTTTAGCTGTGTTTATTGGGTCTACGCAAACCCTTGAGGTAGTGCGTGAAAATTACTGTTCTCTGTCAAAGACTAGCTAATTCTCTGCTTTTTATCTAAAGTCCCTAAGCTCCTGGCTGACAAATTGGAGCCCTCCCTCCCAGAGGGAGCTCTTCATGTTGAAAATGTTGGCATGGAGTCAGGGAGCGAAATACCTGCGGAGCTACTTGGAGTTGGGCGTGAAAGCTAGGAATTGCTCCTTCTCGTGTCTCTGAACTGACCTAGTGCTCCTTCATTCATGGCACCGAAGGAAGCATCCTGTAGTTTCTAATGGATCAGGACCGATTTCCAGGGTCCTTCCTCCCCTCGACACGCCCCTAGTCTTTAGAAGGAGGTCCCTTGTGCTTTTCCGACTGTGTGCATGAGTGAGTGGACAGCGTCCTCCACCTCCACACAGCCATCTATGACCAGTCCCTCTGAGGGAGAAAGACAAGACTTCCTACTCCTGGAAAGAATTACAGCCCAGAAACCCACAGGGGCAGTTCTACCCTGCCTTACAGAAGCGGTTTCCGTTGGAATCAACGCGATGGCAGTGAGCTTGGTTTTGGAGATGAATCACGGAAGTAGTGAGGTACAGCCCTCATGCATCATCAGCTCTACCAGCTTTCAATCACTGTTCGCCGAGTCCTGTTCTGGTGACAGAGCAAGGTCTTACCCACAGTGGTGTCTTTATATATATATAACAGACTTAATTCAGCGCAGCTTCAGAGCCTTCCTCCACTACATTGAGTTACAAAATGCCCAGAGAGCTTTTTTTCAGAGCTACCTCTAAGTATCTTGCTAATAAGCCGTGGAAGCTGCAGGTCAGTTGGAAGGCCCACAGGGGGCAGCACGAGGAATGCTTCTTCCCCTTCAGTCCAGCCTGTGCTGGGGAAGGGGGTGCTGGGAATGCTGTTGGTTTCAGCGGCTCCCGAAGCCCCTGGCTGTAGCCCAGTTGTTTCCTTCTGCAGTGCTTTCTAGTTTGTTTTCTTGTTTTTATTAATAGTAAAAGCACATGGAAATCCATCAGAGCCACCCAGTCTTCCATAAGCCGCTCAGCCTGCACATCATTCCAGGCACTACCGTTAGCCTTTGAGGTGAAGTTCTGTCATACACTCAGGCTGTGGCTCTGTGAAAGTCAGTGCATCACAGAACTTTGTCTCGAAAGCTTTCTAGCAACTACCCTTTTGGAGGGCGGGAGGGAAGAAGAGACCTTTAAAAACCCTTTGAACATGGCCCTCCACTTGTAGGGTCTCTCATATTACTGAGAGAGACCCGACACATTGTATCCCTTAATGTGATAAAGGTCAATCCTAGTCCATTGTCTAGGAAACCCGTTTCTCAAGAGCTAGGAGTTATTTATAAACTTGCCCTTTGAAAAACTTAGAATAAAATTACATGATCATGTAATAGCTTCCAAGGCCTTTAAATTGGCCGGTTTTGTGGCCTGAGAGGAACTTCTGGCTCTCCCCATTCCTGAGAGGGCCGGGACCCTGGCCAGCGGCAGGGCAGTCAGGAGGCGGCAGGAGAAGCTGCTGGTTCCAGCCCTAGCCAGGGAGGGAGTGTGAAGGGAGCGTCTCCATTCTCAGCTTTCCTTCATGGGCGCCCAGCTTTGGGAGTTCTGGAGTACCTTCTTCGCCAGCCCTCATTGCAGTAGGAAGTCCGATTTGAGCCTTCTTTGCCAGCATTTTAATCTTCCCCGGAAGAGCCAGTGTTTCTAAGCTTGGGGTTTCTTTGGCAGTGTCTTCCAAGGAGCAATGAAAATAGGCAGCAGCAGATGCCAGGGATCTCTTTCTCTTTGCCGGCATGATGGTCTTAGGCACTCATGTACTGTTGGCAATCAAGGACATGGTCTGATTCTCTCAGCTGGCTGTTGGCCACGAGGGTTTTTCATTTCTTTGGGTTCCCGTTCCTTCTAGGGGTGCCAGACTGCTTGCAGAAACCAGCTGCGTGTGCCAGGTCAATGCCCAGTTGAAACCATTGGACATCTCTTTAAGGGTGCTGTGAGTGTGGGTGGAGGTACAGAGCCAATGAATTCCAAGTCCCCGTGGACCGCTGTTCTTCTATTAAGGAAATGTAATCCCATTGATGTCTCCTGGGGGTGAATTGAGGATTCAAGTTGCTGTCGAACTGAGCCTGCTTTATGGGATGATCTTTCTGTGGGGAGGTCGGAGTCAGGAGAGCTGCCTCTGTTTGAGACTGTTGGAACTCTAGAAGACTTCCCTTTGCTAATCAGAGTCTCTAGTTGAGAATGGAGTTCCTCATGCCTTGAATATCCCAGAGAGTCGTCCTTATAGAGACCTATACGGAGTGTCTATCACAGCAGAGTCAAGGTTGGTAGTATACCATCCAAAATGGCCACACCAGAAAATCCCACCTCAGCATGACGCATACTGCATCCAGACGTTTTTACTTTCAAACTTCTTATTTTTGTTTTAACAAAATTGTGAGTTTCGTGTAAATAAGTGGGAGAAAGATGAGGCTTTCTACTCCCATAAAAAATTGCAGTCTCAGAAATCCCCGGGGCAGTTCTACCCTGTTGTACAGGGTCGTTATGAGTCAGAACGGACGATGGCAGTGTGTTTTTTTTTTAGTATAAACACAAACAAACACACAGTGTTCTGGACACTTGGGATAAATCAGTCACCAAAACACAAGAATTGCTTCCCTCCAAATCAAGTGGGGAAGCGTACGTTCTCTCTAACCCTGTTAAAGAGTGGGTTCCCTTTACTCCCATTCTTAACTCCCCCAGCTAGACTTCATTCCTGACACGGGGCCATGTTCTTAGAGTCCCATTGGCAGAGATGATCATTTCAAAGGCTGCCGTTTCGGGAATGATCCTCCTCACCTTGAGTCTCTTTGTTGAGAAATGCTTGGAGAATGTGTTCGGCCCCGGTGAGGACTGTGGGTTTCCGGAGTAAGACCAGGGAAGAGGTAACAATCACAGCTTGTTCATAGAACAGGAAGGAGTATCAGTGGGGAGTAATGTTGGTCAGACAGGAATGTGAGGCTGGAAACTCCTCCATGCACATACTACTGCCGCATCCTTCTTCCCTTTTTTTGCCTCCTGGGTAGTAGATTTCCCTAGACATTGCAGGGAGAGAGCATCTGATCACAACACGTTCTGGAAAATTACATGCTTGCAAACGAAGAAGGGCAGTGTTTGCGTGTAGCCATCAAGGCTGAGGCTCCAATTCCTGCATGAGAATACTTGTCCTCAAAATTTGACTTTGGGTAGTAAACGAAAACTTGCCTCCTCTTACTCTCTCCGGGCCTCAGTGTTTTCCAGCTCGATCCTCTTCTCATGGCTTCGTAACCACCCCAGCGTTCAGTGTAGTTGGGGGTGTAGTAGGTGGCTTGGGATCGCAGAAGATGAATGTTTCACTGGACCGCCGTGCAGGCTTGGGACTGGAGTGTGTGTGTGCATGCACGCATGCACGCAGAGTTCCCTCAGCTCAGAGTATGGGTGGCTTAGGGAAGGCGTGCTGCGTACCTCTGCATTGCTGTTGCAATAGCTCTACAGAAATAGCCTAGTACTCTAGCGCGTTCAGCCCTATTTTCAGATGGCCTTGTGCAGTGCTTATTAATTAATCTGGTCACATTCCCTACTTACTTGGGCTTGGGAGCCCAGGGAGGGTCATTTGGAAATAACGGTAGGCCCCACCTTGATTAAGCTCTCCATGAGTCTGGTGCAGATAAACGGTTTCTCGGGTGCTGCTTGGAGACCTTTGTTCAGCTGCTGTTTCCCTCCATTCAGCTCACTCACCACTTGGTTGTTCTTGGAGGGAAATGTCTAAATCCCATCGGATTGGGGTAGGAGACCTACAGAAGCCCCATTGTATACCCTTGTAACCCAGAGGGACCAAGGGGAAGGGATCTGGTGTCCCGCTGGTGGTGGCAGCTTTCAGGACTGAAGAAGATGTGTTCATGTCTCTTTAGGAACCCTCCCTGTATACTGTCAAAGCCATCCTGATTCTGGACAACGATGGAGATCGACTCTTTGCAAAGGTGAGATTCCCTTTTTAAGCTAGCTTCGGAATAGGACATCAACTTATCCCGAGGTTTGAATCTTGGGATTGACTCTATTGATCCATATTTCTTACTATTAAAATTTCAACAGGTTTTCCATCTTACCTTGACCACCTAGATAGAATCTGAGCTGCTTCTGTTTCTTAGTTGCTCATCTTCCCTACGTGCTGTCTTTGACCGTGGTGGCGTCCTTTGCTATCTGTAGGAGAGCAGGGAAGAGCTTCAGAGTCGTGGGTGTCTGACCAGAGCAGAGGCTAGACCTGTGAAGCCATCTTCACCTGCCCATCCTTCCTGTTGCCTTTCCTTCGACCCTGTCATCCTGCCTGGGTTTTTCTAGGAAACTCTTGGAAGTCCAAGGTGCCAGCCAGGGGTCTGTAGTCACCATCTAGCTTGTTTTGTCTTGACTTCCCCAGGGTGATGTTTCTAACTTCAGGTCTGTTGTAAAAGGAGAAAGGACACCCCTCTCTTCTCCCTCCGTATTCGTCCCCTCCTGTAGAAATTTCTTCTGTCCCTAGTGTATTAACTCTGGGCGCGCATAGCATAAATCAATCAGCAGGTAGAGATTAGTTTAGAATTCACCAGCTGTTCCTTCCTGTAATTGGATGTAACTATGCAGGACACCTTTTGAAACAGTTATCCAGTTACTAAATGCCAGACCTGTCATAGGTCTTCAGCTGACTGCGACGGATTAGCCCCTAAAGAGCAGAACGATTTAGCAGCCTCATCTCCTCCCCCTTGCCAGGGAGAGCTTGGAGCGGGCTCAGTGGCATACTGGAGTGCCACCGCCTTCTTTCCGGTTGTCGGAGGGAAAGATAAGCCGTGAGAGCAGCGGGCAGGGTTTTGCCGCCTCTCTCCACTCCTTGGCTTCACATAGGAAGTGGGAGTCGGAAAGAAGCGGGCTGGTGCCTCTGGCATTCTTTGGCACTGCTCCCCAACCCAGGGCAGCTTCTGGGAAGCACGTGTGGAGGAAGGGCCTCAGGAGAGCGCTGCTAGAACGGAGATGGGAACAGAGCCGCCTTTGTGAGGCGCGTGGGGCTCCCGCCTTTCCCCAGTGTGGGGATATTAAGCCAAGGGCCTTTATTTATTTCTGTTCTGGCATCAGATGACTCACTGCCCATTCTCTGCCTCTGCCGCCCTTCTTGTTCCATGTGCGTATTTATCCTTTGCCCTGTGCCTTGAAGCAGAGCAATCCCAAGATCCCAGGACAAAACACAGTCACTAATCATTCTGGGCTCCCGCTCTAATGACCCAACCCCGTCTCCTTTCCCTCTGACCAGTACTATGATGACACCTACCCCAGTGTCAAGGAGCAGAAGGCCTTTGAGAAGAACATTTTCAACAAGACTCACCGGACGGACAGTAGGTCATTTTCCTTTCACTACTCCCTGTGTCAGGGGAACCATGGTGGGAAGGGGGCGGCCCGACAAGATGACGAAGAGAGGATGAAATGACTCTGCCTCCTTCTTCTTCTTCTTCTTCTTCTTTCCCCTCCTCCCCTCATATAATAAACTCTTCAGAAATGTAATGGGGAGGTGAGCGTACCTCACGCGGGAATACCGTGCTGGAAGGTTGGCTGTTAGCTACCTGTCTAGTCCTTGGATTTATGAGCCTCACTTGACAAATTTAACTGCAGCTCTGCTTATTGTACCGCATCCATTAGGGCAGGTAAATGGAAGTCTGTAAAGGTGACCGCTCTGCAGTTTCACCTCCGAAAGATCGACTAGTATCCTGTCTCATACACAAGGAGGGAAATAAGGGATAGTCGGGGAGTAGAGGAGAAAATGCATTCAGACTCCCCCCAAGTTTATGTTTCTCCTTTGCTCTCTCCTAGAACACAAAACAAGTCTGCTTTGGGGCCACAGGAGCGGGCCGGGTCATTTTGGCCTGTTACCTCTGCCTCCCTCGAATAGCTCCCACCTTCTTATTTCAGGCCACTCACTGTTCCCCCTCCCTCCCCAGGTGAAATTGCCCTCCTGGAAGGCCTGACAGTGGTTTATAAAAGCAGTATTGATCTCTATTTCTATGTGATTGGCAGCTCCTATGAAAATGAGGTAAGCATGCCCACCTTGGACCACACTTCCGACGCCACAAGCATGGGGTCCTAGGAATGGGTGCCTGGTCCCTCTGACTTCTCAGAGACCAGCTTCACAAGCATGGCCCTGCCATTGAACCGCCTACGAAAGATTTCCTAGATGGATCGTGTATCTCCGAATAGGAGATATGATGTATGTTTCAGTACATGCTAATGTGTATCTTGGATAGTGTTTTAAAATGGGTTTCTGAGGTAGGGTCAAAGTTGCGGGGGTAGCTCTGGCTTTGAAGGGTTCCTACCTGACCAGCCTTGATTCAGCCAGCCAGCCCCCCGGGTTATGGTGAAGCCATATATTCTGAATGGACCACTTGGGAAGGCTGTGGGCGTGGTCCTCACCCACTTTCCTGTGTGCATGGAAAGCTACTTACCATGGATGGTAGTGGTAAATGGTAGCGATTGCTGGGAGAGTAGAGAAGTGAAAATGAACATTTCTATCTCCAGATAATTTGAAGCCAAAGGAAAAATTTAAGGGAACCAATGCTATAGGGAAATTGTAAATACATGTTTCTTTAAACCTTGCAACATTGTTGTGAATTATGTCGTTAGTATTTTTGTTTTACAGATGAGGAACCATTGCTGAATCACTTGTGTTTGACCATTATTGAAATATAAAAGTGATTTCATGTGGTTCAACCTAATAACTTTCACAGGGTCACTTATCTAGAAAATGGGTCTGTCTGGTTCTAGAGCGCATGCTGTTTCCTCTCATTCTGCTGCCTCCCTTGGACCTCAGCTTATTGCTTGATTAGTGATTTCTCTCCCTAAGACATCAGGTAACAGCTGTATCGTTTGTAAACATACTTAGAGAACTGTCACATGAAGGTGCTGTTAGAACATTCCTCCAGCAAAAAGAGACCTCAGGTTTGGGTCTTACGTAGCCCAGGTAACTTCTGTGAGAAACCACAGGTGCAGTCTTGCTCACCCTTCCACCCTAGGCGTTTGGTTCTTTGGGAAAGTCTGCATTTTGATGCTTAACAAATTAGAGGGTTTTGCGTTCAGATAGTTTTCTTCGTTCGTGTCCTTGCACCTTATCTTCTGTTTCCTGTGTGTCTCCCAACAGCTGATGCTCATGGCTGTTCTGAACTGTCTCTTCGACTCCTTGAGCCAGATGCTGAGGTGAGCAGGCCATTCTTTGATGTTGGCTTGGGAGCTAAAGTAACTGGGACTTAGGGATTTATAGATCAGTAGAAGCCTCGAAAGTTGGGCCTATTTCTTCAGTGTTATTCATACTGACAGGAAGAGCTAGATAGAAACCATACCTTTCCAGGAAGTGTTTCTCCTGCCTTGGAAGATGATTAGATAAGACGGAGTAGACTCCTCTCCTCTGTGTCTGCTCTTGTATTCCCTGGTAGCTCTGGTCTCTGTCAGAGTTTTAAAAACCTTCTGGGTGCTTGCTTGGGCTTCGTTCTTTACGTAAAAGCAAACAAAAACTGCCATCAAGTTAATTCCAACTTACAGTGACCTTATAGGACAGATTAGAACTGTGTCTTAGTGTTTTTGAGGTTGCAACTCTTCCCCTTAACTCTCAGGCAGCCTCATTTTCTCCCACTGTGTAGCTGGGGAGTTTGAACCACTGACCTTGCGGTTAGCAGCCCTATTCCTAGCCCACAGGGCCACCGGGGCTCTTACTTATTTACCTTAGAGTAGGGCAAGTACAAGCATGGGCCATGTCCCAGAGGAAACCTGAGTTCTTGGGAATGGAAGCAACGCTCCAAACTTTTGCCTTCTGGCCCTTAATTTGTTCCTTCTGTAGAAGAGGACCCTCTCCTCTTCCATCTCCCACCAGCCCTCTGGTCCTCAAGGACATGGGCAGTAGAAGAGATAAAAGATTCTTTTCTTGAAAGCATCCACGGATCTGAACTTCATTTCCCCAGCAGCTCCCAAGTGAACCCAGTACAGACAGCCATCCGGAGCAGAGCAGCAGGCGCGCTCAGCCGGGCGAGTGGCTCAGATTTCCTCGGGAAGGGTGATTTATGTCTTAGCTAGGTGAATGAGTAGACTTCGGTTTCGGATGATCTAGTAAAGAAGTCAAACTGCTGACGGATGTGACTGGCCACATGCACCAACCACCGACTCTGGGGCTGGTGGATGAGAGGAGGCCCCTAATCATTCTCCTCCTCATCCCCAGGTTGGGAGGGAGAGGGCTGAGGGGGAGGGAGAGAGACTTAGGAGGTTTGTCAGTGCTTGGTGCAAAGAGTTTACCCTCAGGCCCTTCCCTACCTCTCTCACCGCCTCCAGATTGGGGTTTAGCTTTGTGTATTTTCCACCCTTTTCCACCCACGGATGTCAGTGTTTGTGAGCAGTGTGAGGCTCAGCATCATGACAGGCAGGGAAGAGAGAATAGATCTTGGCAATCAACCCTTGAACAAACAGAAACTGGCTGTATCTTAAAAATATATTCCTGTCCTTGCTCAGCAAGTAGGATTAGGCAGGGATTCCAAGTGGATTGGAGGTGAAGTTCCTCTTCAGTTTTTTGTACCCCTTTGTCTGTCTGTGTGGTTGGTGCAGACATTGATTGGTCAAGTTTGGGACCCCCAGCTCAGACAATGTCATAGGTTTCTTTCACTTACAGGCTGGTTTTTCTCTTTTCTTTCGGGGGTCAGGAAAAATGTAGAAAAGCGAGCTCTCCTGGAGAACATGGAAGGGCTCTTCTTGGCTGTGGATGAAATCGTGGATGGAGGGTGAGTTCCGTGCCCCAGCTGAACCTCCTGGGGCCTGAGGTCAGGTGATGGAGTGACTGCCCCTCTTACTGCATGTGGGCCGACCAGTCCGTTGACCCTTCAGGAAAAGTGAACAATGACCTCTTTTCTGTCTTTGCAGGGTAATCCTAGAGAGTGATCCTCAGCAAGTAGTACACCGGGTGGCATTAAGGGTAAGTGGGGGTGTGCTCCCTGTATCCTTTCATCCACTCGCAGACACCTTCCAGGGCCACACCTGCTGAGTGATTTCTTACTTAAATGCATCTAAGGGTCAGTGCTCTTTGAATATAACCTCCTTCCCCTTTCAGATTCTCATCCCAAAGAAGGGAAGCAAAATGAATCAATTTCTGCACCTGTCACGGTGCCTAACATCTCAAAGTCTTTACACAAACTGGACATGTAATATATATTCAATGAATTAATTAAAGAAAGAAACTTTCTGAGGGAACTTGAGGTAGGTTTATTCTTTTTGGTGTGGATCCCAGTCATCTGAGGCAGACAAATGGCTTCCTTCCTTACCTATTACAGTTTTTGGTACCTATGATTATCAGAGACAACTTCTTTGTCAGTCCTTTTGGGTCGGAGTCAGGGAAGGAAAGGGCCTGTTGAGCTAGCCCCAGAAGGTCCCCTCCAGGTCTGCTGGGGAGATGATGGGGTTGCAGAAGAGTTGGTGACATGGTGAGGGGTGGTTGTAGAGATGTCTGAGCACAGCAGCTCTCCCCATTCATAGAATGTCCCGGCTCTGACCTCCACCGAGTGAAGGCTGACAGTATCGGGTAATGGGAAATCTTCTCCCTTAACTGCCGTGGGCTCCATTTGCATAGTTTAATCTTCTCCTCTAACATATGTCTCTGTGGCAAGAGAGAGGGCCCCCACCACCAACCCCCCTTCCCTTCTCAGGCTGCTGTTGCAGCAGTTTATTTCTTCAAATTAACATGCTGTCGTTACCCATCAGGCCTTGCGGGATCCATTAAACTACCCCTGGCTCCCCCTCATCCTTTCCCTAGCCATATTGATATTCAGAGACAGTCTTCTCAGACTAGGGAATCAGGCCCCCCACCCTTCAGTTGAGGGAGTTGAAGATCAAATAACTTGCTAATGACTTGGACTGGGATACATTTTTTAAGTCCTCCTACCTTAAAAGAGGGGAATGGATGAAATGGCCCTATTTTTGGCTCACAGAGCCTTAGGCCAAGTGAAATTTTGACTGTATCATGGTGATTCCCCCTTCCCGGGTAGGACAGAGAATTATAGGGCCTCTGCCCTTTGCTTTAGTCTAAAGAAATCTCTTCCTTCTCCACTGCCCAACACCAATGAGGTCCTACTCCAGTTTTCCCCTGGGCTGAATGCCTGCTTGTCTCTCTGTGTCACAGGGTGAAGATGTGCCCCTAACGGAGCAGACAGTATCTCAGGTATGGCCCCCTCCCCTCACCTGGGTCACTCAGATGCTTGAATGGCACTAGAGACTAGAAGACACATCCTCCTAGGCTCCTCCCTCTTCTTTTTTTGTTTGCTCTTTCTTACTCCAGATAACTGGGACACATACAGTCAACTGCTTCCTCCCCTTACCCCCAACTCCTATCCCGTTCCCCGTGAGCGTGGCTGCCAGCCTTGCTCTACCCTTCACACCCTCCCTGCCTGCTGCCTCACTCAATGATTTATTCCCCAGCAGAGGCTTGCCTTAAGCAGATGGTCTGTGTGCACACACACTCACGCTCTCTCTCTCTCTCTCTCTGTTATTATTCAAATGAGGGCCAGGCTGGAAATGCATATTCCAGGATATGCAGATCCATCCTGCTACCTTGACTGCAGAAAGATTGTCTACCTGAGTGGGGGTGGGGCAAGGGAAGGATGCTGCTTTCTACCCACTGGGCAGTCTCACCTAGAAGTCCATCTGGATGTGCTACTACTGCCCTCCTCTCTAACGTATGTCTAGTAACCCCCACTTCTTTCCTTTTTTTCGTCTTTCCAAAATTGACAATTCTCTCGGGGCCTAGAGAGCTGCTTCCCATTCCTCTATCCTTCTGGGTTTTCTATCCCCATCTTCTAAGGGTAGGGAAGGCAAGTGCGGGAAGGGGATCCCATTCTCACCCCACACTCCTCCCCCCAGCCTCCCCCACAGCCCCCTTTGTCTCCACAGGTGCTGCAGTCAGCCAAAGAACAGATCAAGTGGTCACTGCTTCGGTGAAGACCCCGCTGTTCCTGGCTCCTCACCTCCCTGCAAACATCGCATGTCTACTGTGACTTCTCACCTACGCCCCCAGACCTGACGCTCTCAGGGTCATCTTGGGGAACACAGGGGTCCTTAAAACTCCATGCTATTTGTGATTGTGCCCTCGCTCACACACGCTCTGTCTCTTTCTCCCTGTCTTGTCTCGGAGTAAAACTCCACTAGATCAGACACAGGACGAGGGAAACACCCTCTCCCTTTCTAGGCTGGATTATACTCCCCTGTTCTCCTGCCCTCCTGTATTTCCTCCTCGACGTCTGTGCCCTTTGCTGCAACCACACTTCAGATCAAAGCAGGAGAAGGAATGTGCTGTGTGTTTCCCTCCCTGTGCCCGGCCTTCATCCAGCAGCCATATGTTCAGCAAGCGGAGGGAGAGAGAATTCTTCTCTATCGACTGATGGCCTGGCTGAGAGTCCAGAATGAGTGGAGGGCAGGGAGGGGTGCACCCAGCTTTGCCCCCACACTGGCTTCAGCATTTTCTCCCATTCCTTCTTATTGTGCTGTCTGCCAGTCTTGGAGAAGAGATTGAGAACAACTCCTCATAGGGCAGACACAGAGTAGAAGAAATCGTGATTTAAATTTTATTGGATAGAGCTTATAAAACCTGCATTTCAGTCACAGCTGCACACTGCGATGGGCTGTGAATGTGCGTTGTGGGAGTGTCCATCTCTTGGTCCACTACCTTCACTGTCCACCTTCACCCCCTGGGGGATCTTCTCCTGGCTTGTCCTCTTTGTGCTCTGGAGCAAGGCCATCTTCGGGAACTAAAACTCCATTCTAGTCTTGGGAAGAAGAGTTTCTGCTCAGAACTGGGGAGGGGATAGAATTTATGACTTGGATCTCTGGGCTCTCCACACCCTAAGCTCCCGCACAAGTATGTCCGTCCTCTGCCTAAGTCTGCAGTCTCTCAGCTGCTTAACCCTCTCCTCTCTCCACCTTTGCTTTGCGCACATCCAAGCGTTTGGACACTTCTCTGACCCAGGTTGGTGAGAGGTGTCTCTTTTCATCAAGCTTTTGGGGTTTGGATTTCCCTAAGAAGGTGGAATCACCCACCCTTGGGTCTAATTTTCTCCACTGAAAACTTTCTCCCCCCACACACAAAAAAATCTCACAAAAAACTTCTTGAGACTGAAGGGTTCTCTCCTCCTCACTAACTGCCAATTCTTCTAGGGGACAGTGGGCAGATGACTGGGCATACTTTGTGTAAGAGACGTATGGAGTCGGGAGATTGCCACCTTCATACAGAGCTCCATGTCAAGAGGAATAAAACAGGTTTCTTTTTCCAAACTGCCTTTGTGTAATGTTTCTGCTCCTCCCTTTTTGGCAGCACCTCCCATTCCTCCAGCCCCCCTCACTCCCCACCTTAGAATATTTCTTCCCGTCTACCTGGGAGACTCCCTCAGCATCCCCTCCCCATCCCTAATTTACGGGACTGTTTGCCTCCTTGGCATCTCTCAGTCCCCTTGCCTGGAAATTGGCGCCAGGGGTGGGGTGGGGATGGTATTTTCTCAGTGGGAGTCCCAGGGAACGGAGTTCTCCCCCCACCCCCACCCCCACCCCCCAAAGCCAGCTGCCTGCTCCCGCCTCAGCCATTAGTAACCCTGAGCCTCGCACCTGCGTGGGGGCTCTCCTCCAGCCCCGCTCCCTTCCTGCGCCTCCCACTCCTGCTCTGAAATGGCGCTGAGCGGGTTATTTATCTGAGCCAGCGCCGCTCCAGAAGGTCAGGACGGTGGTGTAAATAACCTCTTCTCGCCATTTCCCCGTTCCTCCAGAGCCTGCGCCCCTCCCCCTCCCCCACCTTTATTCTCACAAATGAATGTGGCTGGGCTGCCGCAGAGCCTGGCCCTGCATCTTAATGGGGCGGTGAGCTCACAAGATGGATTTAGCTGGGGTTTTATGGTTGCCGCGGCGACAGGAGAATGCTTTGGTTTTCTTTCCCCCATCCTCTGCAGGATTTTAAGGGGGAGGGGGCCAGTGTGGGGAGCACTCCTCTCCAGTGCAATTTGAAGGGTCGCCTCGGTCACCTCTACCACTCAGAAGGTGGGCCTGCAGACCCAGGATTAAGCAAGAGCATGAATTAGGGCTTCAGATAGGGAAGCAGGCGCCAGCATCAGGAGGGCAGACGTTGCCCGGTCTGGTCTGCCTTTTCCGTGGGAACCTGGCAGTTAGAGCTCAGCAGCCTGTGCCTGGCCCCCCTCGTTGCAGGTGAGAGGAGAAAAGGCCTGGTGGAGCACCCTGCAGTCCTGCCCTGAGAGTTGAAGTTGGCGTCTTGGAGGTGGGAGAAGCAGTGCCCGCCAGCTTTACCAGTCTCATCTGGCCTTACCAGATCCTCCAGCATTGATCAGTGATGGTGCAGTTTTCTTCCATCCCCAAGCTGGGAATTCTCTGAGCCTGGCCTGGTTTGAACTTCCCCTACCTTCTGTGTTTCTTACTGGGGATAGAATTCACCAGGGGTCCTGGCCTATCATTTTCTTTCAGGCTTTGAGCAAACTCACCACCCCAGCACTGACTGAGTAGAAAATGGAAGGGTCAGATTCGCTCCCTCCCTAGGCCAGTTTCTGCTGGATTCTGGGCCTCTGTCTTTCTTCTGTGGTGAGCTCTTCTCTCTCCCCCAGGGGACCCTGAGAGGCCCCTCCTCCCCCCTTCACCCCCTTTCCTTCCCTTTGGCTGGGAAAGTGGCTGCAGCCTGAATGGTGGCAGACACCTGCCTGCCAGATGTGACTGCTCCCCCTTCTGCCCAGCTCCCAGGGTCTCTCCTTTCCTTACCCCACTGAGCGGAGCCAGAGGGAGCCCCCCCCCCAATCCAGGGTGATTTAGTGCTGCAGCTTCTTGCCTCAAGTGCCTCCCCCCAACTCCAACTCGCCCCTCCACCCCCCATTGCCCAGGCCTCCTCCCTCACCACTCCTGCTGCTGCCACCTTCCTGGTACTGCCTTGCCTCCCCCCAGTCCCCACCCCGGTAGCTGCTGGACTGTGTAAGCCCCAGCCCCAGGGATGAATGGGTAGGGCAGGGTGATGGCCAGGGTCTCACACAGGGCAGAGTGCATCAGCAGTGTGAGGACAGTGGCAGCCAGAGCTGATGTCATTCTAACTAGGGGAAGGAAGACAGGAGGGGGTGGGTGAGTGAGTGGGGAAGGAACCAGCACTCTAAGACCTAAGACCACAGAGAACTTCCTAGGGGGAGGTTAGGGGAGGGGGCAGAATCAGCATTTCCCTAGTCAGGCCTCCTGATCTTGTCTTGGGATCAGTGTTTCCAAGCGCTTCTCACCCTGACCCCCACACATATTTAAAGGAAACCCTAAGGCCTCCCCATTATCTTTTTTCGCTTTAGTGTTCATCCTTCTGTGTCTTCTATTAACCTCTCCTCCCACCTTACCCCACCTAGTTAGGCTTGGCTCTTTGGTCACCTGGGGCTTGCCCTCCTCCCCCCACTTCCACACCATATCAAAACCCGATAGGACCCCAGATCTTCTACCCAAACAGGGACGCACATCAAGCCTCTCTGCTTCCCATCCTTCCTTGCAACCTGATGCAGGGGGTGGGGTGGGGGTGTTCCCCCAGGGCCAGAGCAGGGGGCTGAGGAGTGGGAGTGAACAGGAGGGGTGGCTGGGCCAGTCCATGGGAGTAGCAGAGCCAGGGCAGATGGAGAGTCCAAGGGAGGGGGTGAAGGGCAGGAAAATAGAGAAACAAAAGGAGACCAAAAAAAACGGAGAGACAAAGCATCTGAGAGCTCACAGCAAGTGAGAATGGCAGACAGGAGTGTGAGAAACTGACACGGGGAAGAGAAGGTGCGGAGAAGAGAGGTGGAGACTGGAAAGTCGCAAAAGAAGGCCACTGGGGAGCAGCCGGCGAGGGAGAGGCTGGCTGGCTCTGCAGGGTTCTCACTGCTGCTGCTGGGCACAGCCATGCATGTGCTGTGTGTGTGTGTGTGTGTGTGTGTATGTGTGTGTGTGTGTGTGTGTGTGTGTGTGTCCGTGGGCATGCACAGAGAGGCATTTGTGGTGGGATTAGGGATGACTCCCACAACTGAGATCCTCCCGTTTCTTTCAGAGGTCTTTCTCCTACACCAAACTCCTCCGTATCCCAGCATTCCTGATGTTCGGGGCGGGGGTAGGGGGGGAGGCATTCCCAAGGTGTTTTCACCCACATCTCCGGAATCCTGGCTTTCTGGTTTGGTTTAGAGTGCTGCTTTGCTGGACCGTGCAGCCAGGATCTGTTGTCGGGAGGTGCATTCCCTCACTGCCCACCAGCTGCTCCCGTCCATCCCCTCCCACTCTGCTTGTATCTCCCCTCCTCCACACTGACCCCTTCCCCAGCCTCTGACCCCCCAGCCTGCCTGGGGCCCGGGTCTGGAAAGGGAGACAAAGACAGGATTTATAGCTGGTATAGAGAAGCAGCCAGAGCCCAGTGCTGAGGGCAATGGCTGACCTCTCGCTGGGAGGGGAGGGTGCACTGGGCCGGATGCTGGGAGTCTGGAAGCCTGGGTTGCAGGGGCCCCTATTCGCCACCCCCAGTTCCCCAGCTCGAGCCCTGCTCTCCTCCTCCTTTCCCCCTTGTCCCCAAAGACGTAGAAAACAGAAAAGCGGGTAGTCCTGAGGTGATTCTAGGCCTCGGAGGAGGGGAGAGAAGAGATTGATGCCCTAGGGGCATTGTCTTATGAAACCTGAGGAAGATTCATTCAGGAACCATGGACACTCAGACACCAGCTGCCTCCAGGCCTCGGAAGGCCGACAGGTTTAGCACTGCAACACATAAGCTGGAGAAGGACTTCCCTCCGCTGCAGAAAGGGACTCGCTCAAGAACAGACTCTCTGACTGCCAGCAGAGAGACACGTAGGGAGAAGGATAGGTCTGGAAAGGTGGGAGTCAGTCTCACTTGAAGTCAGTGTAAGATGTGGACCTCCCCAAGGGTGATGAGCTCCAGGTAGTCAAGCTGATTGTTTGCAGGACTAGGAAGGGGTCATTACCACGGGTGAGCTGGAGAGAGAGGGACTTCCCTCTAATGAGAGACTTCCTCTAATGTATCAGGGACTTTCCCAGAACTGGCTCTGAGGACAGTCGGGAGGAAGCTAAGGGTGGTTATGGACCCTGCAAGATGTGAAGCAGCCTCATGCGGAAGCATAAGGAAGAAAGTAAGGGTTACTACCGCCAGGCCCCTTAAGAAAGTCTGGCTTGCTCCCTGAGTACCCCAACTCCCTCCTAAAAAGTGTGAAGGTGCAGCAGGGCCCTGCCTTTACAGGAAATAAATTCTTGACCTGAAGTTGTCTACTCAGCAGACAGGGTGTGTGCTCAAGAGGGAATGGCATGACCTAGGAGTTTCCAAGAAATCGGCCCATCTATCTTACAGTGGACAGCTCCTGCAGCTTCTCTGACTGCCCTTGGAGGCCCACCAACCCCTCCAAGTTCCAGTTGCCAGAGGCTTCCATAAACCCCATCCCCAAGGCTCCCACATCCCTTCCATCCTCTGGCCCCCCTCCATCCTGCTTCTCTCCTCACCCCAACCTCTCCCTACTATTCTGGGAGAAAACTTCCAGAATTCCCTCCAAAAGAGACAGTGCTACAGGAAGGGCCACTGGGAGCCTCTGGTCTACTGTGCTTCTCACACTCTTCCCAGCCCATTCCAGCCTGAACTCTGCGGGTCCGCGGGTCCACGTGCGGCGCTTTCCGCCCAAACGCCTCTGCACGCCCACACCATTTCCTCAATTCCTGCTGGGAAGCTGAAAATTGGAAATCTTCAAGGGAAGGAAGGGGTCCTGGATAAGGAGGAGCGATTGGGAGAGGACAAAAGAATTGGGAGGGAGGGTTGCTGGATGAGGAAGAAACCCCGGAAAAAGAGGAGAGCATCTCCTTTTCCTTATTCCCTCCCCCCAATTGAGGAGGCAGATTTACAGCTTTGGTTTGGGGAGGGGGGGTGAGCATAAGGAAGACAGATCTGCAGCTCTGCCCTCTGAGTGTCTGGGTACTTAGCTTTAACTCCCCCATTAGCATCAATCCCCATCTTGCTGCCCATCCATCTTCTGACATCAGCTCCTTCCCCTCTCTGTAGCCCAGGCTTTCTGACCCTAAGTGGCTCTTAAAGGGCCAGTCTAGACCTTCCTCCCTCCCTCCCTCCTTCCTCCTCCTCTGGGCAGAACAGTCTGATGTGTGTGTATGTATGTGTGCACGCATGTGCGCACATGCCCGAGGGCATACGCATGTGCACTGTGAGCATCCTGCTGAGGCCAGAGAAGATGGAAGGCATTCTGGTGGGCGAGGTGGGAGATGGGGACTCTGCCTAGCCTTATCTCTGT